ATTGATAACATTACTAACATTACTAGCTTAGCCATCTCCACCGTTAAAGACTCCGAGTTCCCAATCGATCCTACTTTGCCAAAGTAATGACCTCTTTTTTGAGTAGCAGCCGGTAAATCTTCATCTTTCTCCTCACGCTCGCCGTATATAGTAAAGTTATCATCGTCAGATGACGCACCATCGGAGTCGTCGAATACGTCAAATCGGGTTGAAAACTCGTCATCTTCTTCTTCATCCTCTGATTCGTACTCTGCTTCATCTTCTTTGGCTTCATCGTCTACGTTTTCACTATAATCATAACAGAAACCATCAAATCCTCTTGCGTCTTCATATGTATATTCTACTTCTGAAGCCGAACTGCGTGGCCGTTTCGTCCTTGAATTCGATCCGTCCTTCAACTTCGCGAACTCAACACAAAGTCGTGGTTGATCAATTGTCAACAAGCTTAGATAATTCTGCAATTGTCGATCGTTTGAGACATAAACTGGAGGAGTATCATGCGACATATGTTTCATATGTTTGTACGAGAGCATGTAGCTCATCGTCACCTTGTGGCTGAGTTGATGCAGTCCGTAGTCATCAAGAACCAATTTCACTAGCTTCTCGTGCGTTGTTTCCGCATCTATTTGCACAATTCTACAACCTCTATCGTCAGTGTTAAATACATATTTTTGTTTCTTTACCCAGTTACCAGACACAACAATCACTGGAACTGTATGATCCATCAACGAAAATAAAGAACAGAAGTGAAAATGCAGAAAAGAAGTGAAGAACAGAATTGAAAATGAAGAACAGAAGTGAAAATGCAGAAAAGAAGTGAAAAACAGAATTGAAAATGAAGAACAGAAGTGAAAATGAAAAACAGAAGTGAAGTGATTCCCAGAAAATGAAGAACAGAGTGTAAGAAAAACACGAGCTAATGCGGGACCTTTCGTATTTCCCTCGTTTATGCTGACGTGGAATTGTGAATTTGAAGTCGTAAGTCAGCCACCAAACAACTTTGTAACTCAGCCAACGATAAATCAGCCATCAAAACAAATTAAGTCAGCCACAACATGAAAAATATTTAAGTAATTACTAAAATGTTTTTTAAGATGCCAAATTCAGCCGTAACGTCAATAAGTCAGCCGTAACGTAAAATAAGTCAGCCGTAACTGGAGGCTATATTAGCAATAAATCTTTTGTCTATAAGTCAGCCGTAACATGGTTGAGTTTTCCGTTAACTCAGCCAGTTACGACTGAGTTATGTCTCTGAAACATAAGTCAGCCGTAACGACATTTGATAACTCAGCCGTTGTCGATAACTCAGCCACCCGGAGAAAGTTAAGTCAGCCGTGTCGATAACATAACTCAGCCAAACTTCTGATAACTCAACTATCGGACTATAACTCAGCCGTAACGGCGGCTGAGTTATTAGCCATTTTCTCATAACTCAACCAGATTTTTATAAGTCAGTCGTAGCTGTTGGCTGAGTTATGATCCTAAGTCAACCGTTGACCCGAAACTCAGCCGTTGTCCCATAACTCAGCCATAACGTGATATAACTCAGCCGTAACGTACGTTATGGCTGAGTTATTGGTGGCACGCGCCTTTTTATCTGACGTGGCAGTGGCATTTTCCGTAATTAGTTTTTTCCGATAACGTGAAAAAAGGGCACGCTGGTAATTAAAAAACATTTAAGGATAAAAAAAAGTTTTGTATGGTTTGCGTCAATACACCTAACATGTGGTGCATCTAAATAATTCTTTATTTTAAGAATGTAGAATTTATTTATTTTTCTTTTACAACACTCTCGACAGCTTCTAGATCCATCTAGAATAATATCTAGGAAAGTCCCTTCCTTAATCACTCTCGTCTTCATCTACATTCAAAATCCATTCGAATTCTCTCAAACTCGCTTTAAACCCTAACCTTAATCCAATCTCAGAGCTTTTTCGCTTTCTCCATTCATGGCGGAATACTACAATTGCTTACCGATGAAGATGAAGAAGAGGAAAGATATCGACAGAGTTAACAACGATTTCTCCGATTTCTCACTCTCTTCTCCCGCCAATAAGATTCGCCGTTTGGTAAACACACACCTCTATCTCCGTTTCTGATTTCGATTTTGAAAACCCTAGTTTACTCTGATGATGTTGATTTGATTGGAATGTTTTGTGTTCAGGATTTGGATTTGCCACCGATCATGGAGGAAGATGAAATCAAATCTGTTTCTTCGGTTAATGAAGAGAGAGCTATTGTTCTGTATAAGCCTCTTCGATATCATCATCAACGTTGTAGTGGAGACTTTTTTGTTGATTCAGACTTTGTTTCTGGGCTTAAGCGTAAGTTCTTCATTGTTAGGTGATTGACTTGGTGTTTAAGAAGCATATGAGATATGAGTTTGTGTGAGTCTTAGTAACTATTTGATTTAGTGTTTATATTGCTACCATGATGTCCTGACTCCTGAGTCGTAACCATTGTTTTTGGCCATGAGAAATTGCTAGTCAATATTAGTTTCAGATCATAGGAGAACCTGATTTTGAGTGTAGTGGGTTTGAAACATTTGTTGTTAGTTTTGCTTCTTTGCATTAGGCTATCATGTATGTATGTTCTCGATTTTGATCTGACTATTCTGATGGGTGGCGTGAATTGCTCTTTTACGTTGTTTTGCAGATAGAATTTTGCATGATGTAGTGGTAGCTGATGATCTATGTGATGATGATGACGACGAAAAAAGCAAGCAGAAGGCGGTTGTTCGGTGGGACTCATCCTCCAAGTTCCAGTCCTTTGAGGAACCGCCTGCGCCAGAGATTACTGAGTTGGATGGTGAAGATGAGATGATGGAAGAATCAGCCATGGATGTGGAAGAAGCATCGCTGTCACAGCAGCAGCTGCAGCTTGCAGGAGGGTTGCATCAGTGGCAGCAGCAACAACTACATTGTATGGTACCACAACTTCCCCAAACCAAGTCTACTCCTATCTCTTGGTACCGATGACTTATATAGTAAATGTAGAAGAACTAGTCTTTGTTATTGGTAGTTCGTTCACTGTATATCTTACTCTGTTTCTAGGCCATGAATGTCATTTATATTTTAGAATGTAAGAGCACAAAGTGATGTGTTTGGTACAAGATTTTCCTTAACAAAGAACCTTTTTGTTCATTGTTTCCGATTTAAAAATAAAATATGAAGCTAGGATTTGATTGCTTTGTTTGGAATTTTGGGATTGAGTTTATGTTTGATAAATGTCATGAGCTCCATGATACTTCGTACATGTGATCTGACCATAATGTGATTCCCAACTTGACGTAGAGCTGAGATTGTAAGACAATCATATGTATTTTACAGCTTTTGCAAATTGAGTCACATTTTTTTGGTTCCTGCAATTTCTCTTTGCAGTTGACACTTTGGTTTATGCTTCAATTTGGTTAACAGTTTGGAATCAAAGCTTGCTAGTTGTTGTTACATAACAAGTGTAAGAAGTGGTGCTTAGGTTGCATATGAACCTTTTGAAATCAGACCGTAAGCTTTAAGCTTAAAGACTCTTTCATATTAGTTATTCTTGAGTCTTGACTCTTGATCCTTGGAATAGAACTGTAGCTAATATGGTGTTCTTGTGGAATCTTCCACTTTTGTATATTTGTGTTGAAGCTAATAAAGACTTTCTTGTGAATATGTATTATGGAAGTTGTAACAAGGGCTACACGAGTTTTTGACAAACAATTTACGTAACTTATTTCGTAAATATAAGATTTAAGATTTTCTAAGTTTAAATTACTGTAAGCCAAATGATATGTAATTTTAACAGAATAAATCATATTATGTACGAGTACGAGTTAAAAATCAAATTCAAGGTACGAGTTAAAAAATCTTTGGACGTAATCGAGAGATAAAATGTGTCGTAGTTGGGCGACCAAAGCTAATACTTATGTACGACATGGCTGTTCGGTTCGGTTCTATTCGGTTTTGGGTAATTCGGGTAGACTCGGTTTTGGGTAATTCGGGTAGAGAAGTTAAGGATCCATTCAGTTATTTTATAATAATCCGTTCGGTATTAGGTTGGGTTTAGTTATTTTTGGTTCGGTTTCAGATACCCGAAGTAGTATTATTATTTCAAATAAGACTAGATTTTACCCCGCGGGATAAATATTTTCTTTGTAATTCATGTTTTTAAAAATCAATAGGTTTGGTTGGAGTTTGTTTTATAATGATAAGATTGCATAATATCAAACTTTTCTAAATCAGTTTAATATAGTAAAACCTCTATAAATTAATACTCTATAAATTAATAAACATTATAAATTAATAAATGTTTCTGGTCACAAGTCGGGCCAATGTAAAAATTGACGAAATTTGATAAGATAATAAGATAATAATTATTTTGACATCCCCATGTAAAATATAGTCCCAATAATATCATAAATTAATAATCACTATATATATATATATATATATATATGTGTGTAGATATATTAATATATGTTTTTAGTTTTTTTTTGTAAAAATGAATTTTCTCCTAGAGTTCACCTCAATAAATAATTTTATGTTAGTATATTTTTTAAACAATGATCTTGTAATATATACCATCACAAGTCATAAAAATAACCAAATTTTCTTTATGCTTTCAATTTTTAAATATACATCATATTATTGACAAAAAAACAAATATGCATCATATTCATTTTTTATATATAGGATGTTAAAATATAAAAATTGAGGTTATTAATTTACATTTGAATTTATGTATATCATTTGTGTAGGTGAATTTATCTATAATATATGTATTTGTAGTTAAATTTCTTTTTTCCTAAATATAATATTCACTTTCAAACTACTGTATAATTTATAAAATTTAAAAGATTAGTCTTATTTTTGTAAAATTATATCAATTCATACTTTTAAAAAAATTGAAAAACTAGAAATACCACTATAAATTAATAATTATTAATTTACACTATAAACTAATAAATATTAATTTATAGATAAATTAATATCACTATAGATTAATAAAATATCATAGTCCCATCATTATTAATTTATAGAGGTTTTACTGTAATAGTAAAATGATCTGTATTGAACTGTGAGATTAATAATACTAGAAATTTTTAGTAATATCTACTTAAACCCGTTCTGTCTAATAGCCCGTCCCGTCATATAATATGTAGGAAGCATATTACAACATTTACCTTGTTATATCCCATCTTGTCACATAATCGCCAAAAAAATAAATCTACTTTTTTTAAATAGCAAAATCAATAATATTTTAGTATAAACTTGGTGTGGAGCTAAAATATTAATAATACTGAAACTTTTTAAAAGTTTTAAAATATTTTAAACTTTATATGTAGTTAACAATCATTCCCGTCTTACAATCCGTCATATCATATATTCTCAAAAAATATTAAACCCATGTTTATAGTCCCGTCATTCGTAGTTGGAAAGCTATATAGGCCATGAATGGATGCTGTTTTTCATTTAGTTTTTGGATTTGGTTTTTATTTTTTAAATTATAAATTTTAGTTTTAGATTTTTCTATTAGTTCTTTTGTATTAAAATCCCAAAAATATGGTTTTTGGTTTTTGAGGAAAATAACGTAGAAAAACTAAAAACTAGATTCCCTAAATTTTAGAAAGCTTAAAAATCTAAAATCATGAATGGAAGATTTCAACAAAATGGTTTTACTAAATTATAGGGAATCCAAAAACTCAAAATCTTGATTGTTTGAAAATAAGTTTTTGAAAAACAAAAACCAAAATCTCTTCCAAAATCCACTAAACATTCAAGGCCTAATCTTATTTATAAAGATCTGAACCATTATCAATAAAATTTTGATTCGGTTTTGGGTAATTGAGGTAGAGAAGTTAAGGATCCATTCAGTTATTTTATAACCTGTTTGGTATTAGGTTGGGTTTGGTTATTTTTGGTTCGGTTTCAGATATCCGAAATAGTATTATTATTTTAAATAAGATTAAATTTGATTAAATTTTGACAAATATGTCCAAAAACTTTGGAATACATTTGTTAGTTTAATTATTTTGGTTATTTTGATATATAAATACATGATGGTTATGGATTTATAAATGAAAGTTTGGTAATTAAATTATATCAAATATAAATATAACTAATATTTTGGATATATATAATTATATTTTAGATTTTTCGGATACCTAATTTGGTTTTTGGTTCGCTATGGATTTGATTCTAGTTTTTTCGGTTCTGAATCAATATCAAATCAATTATTTTTCAGTTTTGGTCCGGTACAGTTTGGTTTTGGTTATGTTACCGGCTCTCTCAAGTCTCAACTGTCACAACGTAATTAGGCATGACCACGGTTACGGTTAATGTGGTTCTGGTTAATTAACCAACGGTTAACGGTTATAATTTTCTTTAACTATAACCTTAACCATTATATATATATGGTTAAGACGGTTACAGTTATATATGGTTACGGTTAATTACGGTTATGGTTAATTACGGTTACGGTTAATTACGGTTACGGTTATTTGATGATTAATATTATTGGAGACAAATTGTATGAAATATATTTATTGTGAATTAGTTAAATTTTGGTATTGGATCGAAACTGAGAAACTCAACATCAAAACACACGAAAATAAGAATAAAAATAGTTTAATATGAAATGTTTGATTAGTTACGAATTCAACTTGTTGTGTTGCTTTTAATAAAGTGAAAATTTTATCCAAACATTTTTATGTATCTTTTCATTGTATACAGTTATAATATAATTTATTTTAAGGATTTAAATATACGGTTAACCGAGTGTTTTACCGTATGGTTAACCGACGGTTTACTATGGTTACGGTTAATTAACGGTTATAGTTAGTATTTTTTTTATAACCGTAACTAATCTACTTATAAGGTTAACGGTTACGGTTTTTAACCGTTTTATACGGTTATGGTCCGGCTACGATTGATAAACGGTCTAGTTGCGGTCAGAAACACGGTTAAGATTTGCTTTTGGTCATGTCTAAGAGTAATGGTCTTGCTGCGGGGAAAAACGTAAATTGTAAACTTTTCTTTATGGGCTTTTTAAGTAAGTGCAATTGATTAAACCCTAAACCCTGTAATTTTTAAAAGGCCCAAAAAAATAAAACCCCGTTTCTTTTCGATTCGATTTTTGACCGTCTTCGTTTTACTTCAAAGAACAAAACAAGCTCCCGCCGCCGCCGTTTTCACGACCACCGTAGGTTTTGAGCTCGAAACCCTAATTTTTCAGTCTCTTTCAAATTTTAACCTATTTCATTCTCAAGTTTGTGTCTTTCTCACTTGATTCTCGAAGGAATTGCGAAATTATGAACAACAACCAAATGGAAGAACCAGAGACGCTCGGCAAAAGAAAAGTATCTGAAAGCCCAAAAATTTCTGATGAGTCTCCAACAACGAAGCGTCGAAGTCTCAAACGTGCTTGTGTACACGAAGTCGCGGTTCCTAATGATTACACACCAACAAAAGAGGAGACGATTCATGGTACGCTTGATAATCCTGTCTTCAATGGAGACATGGCAAAGACTTATCCTTTTCAGCTCGATCCGTTTCAGAGTGTCTCTGTAGCTTGTTTAGAGAGGAAAGAGTCGATTTTGGTTTCTGCCCATACTTCAGCTGGGAAAACTGCTGTTGCGGAGTATGCTATTGCCATGGCGTTTAGGGATAAGCAGAGGGTTATTTATACTTCGCCGTTGAAAGCTTTGAGTAATCAGAAGTATAGAGAGTTGCAGCATGAGTTTCAAGATGTTGGTTTGATGACTGGTGATGTTACTCTCTCGCCTAATGCTAGTTGTTTGGTTATGACGACAGAGATCTTGAGAGCTATGCTTTACAGAGGGTCTGAGGTTTTGAAAGAGGTTGCTTGGGTTATTTTTGATGAGATTCATTACATGAAGGATAGGGAAAGAGGAGTTGTTTGGGAAGAGAGTATTATTTTCTTGCCACCTGCTATTAAGATGGTTTTTCTTTCAGCGACAATGTCGAATGCTACTGAATTTGCGGAATGGATATGTTATCTGCACAAGCAGCCGTGTCATGTTGTGTACACAGATTTCAGGCCAACACCTTTGCAGCATTATGCTTTTCCTGTGGGTGGGAGTGGACTGTACCTTGTGGTTGATGACAATGAGCAATTTCGGGAGGATAATTTTAGTAAGATGCAGGATACTTTCCCCAAGCCGAAATCTGTTGACGGGAAAAAG